TTGCCTAGATAATACCTTTTCTAGAAAGAATGACAAAGTCAACAATATGTTACTTAATTAAGTGCCAACACAGAAAACGTGGATGGGTTATGTCAAGTGTAGACTCCCGCTGCTAGCCTATTTTTATATCGTTTTGGTAGTTGTTTTTGTAACAAAAAAAAATCCCTAGTATTTTAAAGTATCTTAGTATTTTTTACCATTGATAAAACATTATTCCCAATAAATTGGAATACAAAGTAAATCATTGGTTGTCTAATGAATGCAAACAGATCTTTTTAATCACTGGATTAGTATTTACCTGTTTATTAGATTAATTTGCATATTTATGGGAAGAAGAAGAGGTCTTTGCACCTTACACATCAACAATGATATGAATGATAATTACCATTTCCCACCAACATTAACAAGTAAATGGTCAGTATTCGAGATTCTTAATTCTCAAATTACTTTGTTCAATTCATATTTTGTTTATGTTAAAAGCAAGGCCTACGTAGAAAATACGAAGTAATTTAACTTTTAATATATTTTTGTACATTTTGCCTTGTACTAGAAAGTAAAAAAAATGTTTGTACATCTTCACTCTACTTGTAGTAACAATGCTTACAACGTACAATAAATCAGTAAGTTATAATCATCACGTAGGTACAGAATTTTAGATTTATTCAACAATCTTTAATATTCTCGATAGTCTGAATTGTGCTTGTGTATTCATTCTGGTTCAAATTAAATCACAAAGTTATATATTCGTAAATGAAAAATGGAATTTGAGCATATTCAATGTAGTAGTTTTCTTGTTTATTGATCCAAAAATATTTTAAAACAACTTACATGACGTTTCGCTGGTGATCCACCTACATTCTCAAGTGTACTGTCCATGTTATGACAGATTGGTCATGACGTCACCTTGGTGTTGTTGAGGTTGGCTTGTGCCTCCATTCGTCTTGTTGTTTTTGAAGACAGGTCGTCTCTGGGGGCCCTCAGGCTTTATGATGTTGTATGATGTCATATCAGATGTTGTGTGATGCAAAGTGATTTGTGATTTTTAATTGATAACTAACAGTAAATATATATATATGTCATGAATTTGAGTGTAACGAAAATAAGAAAATAATAGTTATGTGTTATTTGAGAGTGTTTCCGTTGGAATTAGAAATTTCAAAATTGAGTATTTCTATTTGATTTATTAGGTACCCATATTAATATAAAACATTCAACTATGACATTAAAAATATATATGTAATATACACAATTGAGTACCAGGATTACTTTACTAAGCCAATGATGCCAGATTATTTTCAAGTCCCAATAGTATCAAAGAGTAAAAATAGAACAAAAAAGCCATCTACACTCATTGAGAGCGTAAAAAACGATATGCAGTACGCAGCCAGTGTAGGATGCCACTGTCATTTGTATGTTCTTTATTACCCAGTACCGCACTGTGCACGATGCCATGACAATAAAGGAAAATAAGGAAATCTGCCACCCACTCAAAGTATTGCCTTGTATCATGTGGGAAACAGATACACAAACTGCGTGGTGCAGTACTGGGTAATTAATAGAGAACATACAAACGGCAGTGGATGTCCTAGACTAGGAGTGACGTATTTTCGAACGGGAGTACGTTCTCTTGTTCTATTTATACTCTTTGATAGTATGTATCATAATGTCTTACACTATAAAGGTCTGTCCAGACTATAAAGGTCTATCCGCATTAATTTATAATGTGATATGTGATAAATTATGCAATTTGCCCATATATTGGCATCGTGATGTCACATTACGCTTAGCTGTATCAAATAAAAACTTGATAGATTTATTTACAGTATATATCATAGTATGTAATGACCCAAGACCACAGAAGGGCTGTAAACTCACATCACCAGGTTTTGAGAAACAGGGCCAAATAAACAGTATAACATGTAATTTGAGCAAAATGTGATTATGTCATAAACATAAAGTATTACTATTTTTGAAATTTGGGTTTAATATTCCCACTCAAAACTCTAAAATTCAGTCATTTTATGAAGGCCATTCAACAAGAAACGTATAAGACAGTCAAACTGTTCATTCATTTTTGAAGAAATTTCTCCAACTTTTTTCGCTCCCCTACAATGCATTGTTGGCCGTCTTTTGTTATTCTGTGAAATAAATATCTATTGTGTGATGTGATTGTGTTAATTTTGTCTCAGGTAATTGTATTCCATCTGTTTTATCCAATAGAAAAGTTCTTAAAAATGTAAACATAGGTAAGGAGGAAAAAAAAAATAATTGGCTAAGAGCAACCACGTGTTTGATGTATTCTTTCCGATTGGTTGACTTACTTCCAGGAATTGGTTGGCAAGAAAGCATGCATGCAACTAAACTGTCATGCATGCCATGTAGTCAGAAGGAAGGCCTAGACATTTAATTATATATTGCCGACACTTAAATAGCGCAAAATGTTTTTATTTTAAACAAGACAGAGAGTATTTGATTTGATTTACCGGTAATTTAATGATAGAAACTTGTATTTCTAATGGAGAAATTATTGTCTTGCTTTAACAGCTTATTGAAGAGGCTTTTCTCCTTTGCATTGGAAAAGGTGCGAAATAACACCATACACTGTTACCCTACTAGGGAGTCTCACTGAATCGCAGCTTGTGTTGGGCTAAGGCCTTCATGTTTGGCCTTATGTAAAAATCCTGATTTATGCACTCGATTGGAAGAGTGGGGCGCCCTCTGAACATATATCAACACATGCAAAAAGCGGACGAGAAAACTTGCACTTAGCAAAGGCAATAAAAAATGCTGTCCCTGTGCCGGCAACTAGTTTACTCGTCTCCTAATATTTTCCCACCAATTTATTAGACACCATTTTGATGATATATGACTAGATAAAATTTCAAGAAAGTGTGTTGGTACATGTATAGTACATGTATACTTGTTTTGCACACAGGAAGGAACCTAAAAAAAGTTGTGGTAGTCAAATTGTTAACAGGAAATACATATACCATCACAGTAATTAAAATAATAGGATTATTCTAATTTTAAGACAATGCAGATTCCATAATGTCAGATCTACAAGCATAATCATAAGAATTAAGATTAAATGTCTTTAAAGAAGAGTGTGATTTGATTCCAAAAAGTGAAGTGTTGCAAAGTAAAACTTAATCGAGTGATACTAGTCTAATACTGAGATTTGCTTAGAATTGGGTTTTTGTTTTTTTTTTTTTTTTTTTTTTTTTTTTTTTTTTTGTTAATTGTTAATATGGCTGTTTCTAATAAAATAAGTGTTAGCCAAATTTTTTTAAGGACACTTTAACACAATTGCAAATTTTTAACAATGTTAAACTGAGATACAGTATAGTATGATCTTCCTATAATGCATCCATGGTTTGTGTGTTGAATTTATAACGACTACCTGGATGCAATTATTTGAGGATCAGTGGTAGCACCAAGGCGCCCTTTATGAGTGCCTAGCGACTTATTATTTTTCTAAATTTTCTCATTGGGAGAGGGAGACACCCTCTCTAAAATGCTCTACCCAGATGATGAGGCCTACAACCATCAGATTAGCTTTGCCCTGCCGTCCGGAGAATCCTTGTGCCACCACTGTTCACGATGCAATTACTACAATGCACCAAGAAAGAGGCCAACACTTTTATTTCACACTTTATTTATACTATACTAATTTAAAAATGGAAAGACACTATTTGAAAAAAAAAAAAAAAAATTTTAACAACAAAAATATTATTGTAAACTCAAGTTGTATGCTCCCTCTATAGTCAATATTTGACAATTTGCATAAATAGAGTCTTATGGTTTCTTTTTGGTACCATGCCTAGGATAGGCATGAAATCCAAAAAACATTTCCAATAGTGTTTTCATAGGGTGAAGTGGGTTACTGGAAGAAAAAAAAACCACATGTGTTGTTTGTAAAGAGTGTACTGCATTCTTTATAAGCTATGATGCACCTTTTAGTATAATAATAAATGTAATAATGGTCGACTTATAGAGCGCATATTACAGACCTGAGCTTAATATAAACACGAAAAAAACTAACTAATCCTACTCCTTAAACTAAGCATGGTTTCCTACTCCTTAAACTAAGCATGGTTTGGCCGTTGGCTTCGAGGAGCTTATCTGCCCTTTGTTCAGCTATGTTTTTTTTTTTATTGCTGCTGGGTGACCAACCATCCTCTCAACCAAAGTTGCTAAGGCCGTAGTTGGGTTTACTAGTTAGTCTCTGGCGGCTTGTGTGGATGCATTTTAATGTTATACCCAGGACATCTTAACTACTGTACAACTAAAACTAATCTAGATGGGAATGTATTACAAGGTCTTCACTGTGGCTACCAGCAGTTTAACCAACTGGTAAAATGTGGCTATACAGCTCAATGGAACTGGGAAAATAGGCTTGTTACCAAATGCAAAAAAATTCAGAAAGTAACTCGATTTATATTTTAATGAATATAAAGTCTCAGTTTTATGAAGACATGAATATATACCATAGACTTGACAGGGCTGTAAAGTATTAACTTTTTTAATAGGCTTTAAATAGGCTATTAAGCAAAATTGAAACTTTTTTAACAACTTGATAATTGATTTTTAGTTTAATATTAAAAGGTATCTAAATTTCACTATAGAAAAAATTAAACTTCTCTAAAAATATGCCAACAAGGAATAGAATTTCATGTGTAAAGTCTATTGCTATATTGTGCCATTGATAAATTTAAATATAGGGCACTAATTAGTTTAAAGAATTGTTTCACAATGTTTGTGTCATTCCATAAACCTCAGGTTTTCATAATTTACTACTGTTGACAGCCTCTTTGGATTAGACAAATATTCTGCTGGTCAATTATTATTTGTGGGAACCTTTAGCTCATCTATTTTTGTTCTATTTTGTACATATACTACATCATTGTGCTTTCATCTACTATTTTTTACAGCTTAGATACTACCAAAATCACACCACAGTCCTGACTGCCATTATATGCCAATCAAAGATCTTATTCTGACTTTTGAATAAACATTACAAAATGCTGTAGTATTTGACAATTGCCACCACCAGTACAGTAACTAGAATCGGATAAATCAGGAGAAAAATAACCACTGCTAACACAACTGCTGGACCGTGTGTTCCATACAAGAAGCTGCTGACGTCTGCTCCTCCATAGAGCACGTGTCCAGTAATAGCAGAACTCTGCACTCTTCTTGACACTGTCTCGACTCTGTACCCCGTTGCTGTAGCATTTCTTATCCTGTCTTTAACTATATCTTTGAATTCGTGCTCATTATTACAATAATCTGACAATTTAATGCAAAATTTCTTTGCAAATTCCATGCAGTCGTTCAAAAGCGCATTATATCGGTGTGGGGCTACTTCTACTGCTGCCAGATCCAAAGCATATTCACTCGTACCATTGTATTTGCCAACGTAATACCTTCTATCTATGGTGTCTTTGACCTCTTCATAAGTACATTCTTCCTTATAGATCTTATACCTCCTTAAATGCATACTTTCGAACGCCAAGTGAATTTTCCAACAAGGCTTTTCATCTGGTATGTTAGATAGTTCAAAGTTAGGATCATTCTCTTCAGCAGTGACACACAGAACAAAGGCGTGTGCATACTTGTCATTGACACATAAAAAAACATAATAGTCATGTTGAGATAGCAAGAGGAGTCTTCGAAGGCTTTCTCTTTCTTTGTTATTGTGCGCGATAACTATGTTTTCGTCCAGATGGGACAGATTTACTCTGTAGGCTGATGAGTCAATGCTTTGAATGGTGTTTTCAACCATTGTGAAGTCTAAAATCAGTCAAAAATTGAAAGCCTTAATTAATAAAAAGTACTTTGATGTATTTTTCTATGATTTAAAAATAGACCAAATATACAACAACATAACAAAATATTTTTAACATTTATGAACATGTATGTTAAGATTTCTTACTAGACAGAGGGCTATCAAATATGAATCTACATTGCTGTTTCAATTGATTAAATTTATGCAATAGATCTGGGGATTTTCTTGGCCATAGTCATGGTGTTTATAAAGGTTAGTACTCACAGACCCTGATATTTCCACTGCACCAAGAAAGAGTCCAAAGATTTGAAGAAAGCAGAGATCTAAATTCAGTATTGCAGTGAAGGAAAAACAAAATCCAATGAGCATATAAATATATCCATAATGATTAGATCCAAACTTCTGGCACCATGTTAGTTTTTTGTGATTTGATGTGATGTTTTTTTGTGATGGTAATAGTATAACAGAGTATAACAGGACAATAATGAAGACAAAATTAATACAGTACAATTATGGTGGTTCAAGTGACATCGCACCCAAATGTATAGTCATATGATGGTTATTCTGATGGTTTTTTGAATCAGGAGAAATAATAATGAAATGATGTTTGCCCTACCTGTTGTATTGTAAGTACTGAATAATAATAATAATAATAATTACTTTATTTAAACACGGAAAAACTTGATCACCCAAGGGTGTTTTCATCAAGGCCGTGCAAGGCCATAAGTGGTAAAATATAAAGATACAAAATACATAACAAAAGTATAAACATTAAAGAATTTGATTAAGTAATAAATGTGATTAAAATGTGAAATTATCTTTAGTTTAAAATAAATCAAAAGCATATACATTAATTAATTTAATATACATACAGTAATTGATTAATTTAATATCAGAAGTTAGATTAGATTAATGATTTCTTTAAATTTATTAATATTTGCTGAATTTCTATACTCATAATTTAAATTATTCCATAACTTAGCACCATGGTAAGTTAAACTTCTTTTTTTATATTCTGTTTTAGGTTTTTCAGTATATAAGACATCCATTGTTCTTGTATTTTATTGTGGATTTCTTAAGGTAAATCTGTTCCTAAGATATGATGGTGCTAAATCATGAAATATTTTAAACATAATAATGGCCTCATTGTAGAAGAGGTTTGTTTCAATGTTTACCCATTTAAGATCCTGCAAGGCTTGGGAACTTGAGTCGTAACTTGTCTTTTTTAGGATAAACTTTGCTGCTCGGTTTTGAAGAACTTGTAATTTGTTAGTTAAAGTTTTATTTGTTCTACCCCACACAACATTACAGTAATCAAAATGGGCTATTAAAGATTTGTACATCATATTTTGAAGGTGCTGGGGGGATAATGTTACAGGACTTTTTCAAATAGTATAAGCCAGGCAGGACCTTATTTTTAACATGATCTGTTTGTTTCTCCCAAGATAAATTTTCATCAATATACACGCCTAGATGTTTACAGCTTTGCACCCTATTTAAACGTTCACCATCAATGTTAATATTTAGATCTGTATCTGTTAATTTTGCCAATTTCTTATGTGTGCCAATAAACATACACTCGGTCTTTCTTACATTTAAACTTAGTTTGTTACATGCTCAGTACATTCCCAAATGTAAAAAAAAAAAACAACCAAAAAATGTCAGGTAGGGCAAACATCTTTTCATATTGTTTCTCCTTATGCAAAATGCCATCGCAATAGTATTGCAGTACATACATGCTGCTATTTAGGGATCGGATTCATCACTAGCTAAACAACTGCAAGCTTGGTGGTCTAGCGGTTAAGACATCAGGCTAGTTGCCTGGAGTTTGTGGCTTTGATTTCCAACCCAATCACTTGCAAGGTTTTTTTCGCAAACATATAATGGTTGTAATAATATATATAATATAATCTTATATCATTACAAGTAGCTTAGGTATGTGAGGTAGTAAATACTGTTAATAATTTCTTTAGGTAGGAACAGTTGTCATGGTAACTGAATGAGGGAACAGTAACCCTATATAACCTTAAAGGTTGCTTACTGGATTGTAATTGTAAAATCATTACAAAAACATTCTTAACATTTAAGTAAATTCAGTAGCATACAACACAGTGATGGTGTCAGTAGGGGAGGGGGCCAGGACCTCCATCGGGGAAAGCCCCCCCCCCATTGGGGAGAAAAAGCACAATTTTTCCCCTGGACCCACAACCAAGGACTTATAACTACCAGGATAGGAAGCTAACTGGTGTAAGCTGTCTAACTTGAATTAACCTTATGTGCGGTATTTTTATGCTAATACGCCAGATAAGCACAATCTGCACATGCTCAGGAAAACCAAACTTTCCTTAGTCACTGCGGCCCGCACTGTGTTTCGGCTTGGTGTACAGCTAGGCCTAGCCGAGAGCAAAATAAGGGTACTAATTTCACTTGGCATGCAAATCAATCATATTTACACACTTAAAAATAAACTAATCTACCAATAAAATCACCAGCTATTTAAGATATAAGACAAGTATGTTCACAAATTTGATTTTAAATTGATGTGATTTTGTTTTGTTGGCTAGCCTAGGCCATGTCTAACCGCTTATAAAAATGCAGAAAAGAGACCCAAAACAAATTAGAATGAAGTTATCAACTAACTAGTGCATTAAAATTATTCATATACTTACTACTTACTTATATGAAATTAAAATGTATTGCTCACAAATGCCAATTTTTTATTTTAATACGCCTTTTCTTTGTTTACCGCACCATAATCCTTGGCAGGCCTAGCTGTACGCCTAGACGATACGCAGTGCGGGCCGCAATGTGGCAAAGGAAAGTTTTGTTTTTCTGAGCATGTGCAGATTGCGCTTATCTAGCTCATTAGCATAACAATACCGCACATAAGGCTAATTCAAGTTAGACGGCTTAAACCAACCAGCTTCCTATCCTGGTAACAGTTATAAGTCTTTGCCACTACAAGGAGTTTTGGGTGGTCCTTGCTGCACCTACTTACATTCCTATCAGGGGCGTCGGTCCCCATTGCAGTGGCAGGTTCAAGGGTTTGGATGAACCCCCCCCCCCCTCTGTTAAGGAATGTAACAAAATACTACTGGTTCCTGGCATACAAAAGGCATGCTAACCTACAGTACCCTAAGACTTAGTTTGGCAAATCAGACAAACTAGACTTTGACATAACTAGCTGTCAATTATATACAATTATTATTATCATTTTTTTTTTGGTTGGCATCATAAACATGATTTTTGTACAAAGTGCTTTCTTTAGGCCAATCGGTTCATTGATTCCTAGAAGAAAGACTATACGTATCCAACTACTCAATATTGGAATAATATATTACTTACCATCAAAAGAGGGTAAAAACCTTGAATTTTGAAGAACTAATAAGAGTCACTAAAATCCTCAAAAGTCGGGAAATCTCTTTTTTTCGGCTATTTGGGGACCAAAATTTTTTCTGAGACCCCCCTCCCCGTTTCTATTTTGGGTTTTTGGAAAAATTTTGAATCCCCCACCCCCTTCAAATCCTGGATCCTCTACTGAAACGGAAAATCCTGGCACCACCACTGATAGAACATACCAGCAAAGATGCACAGATGATGTTTTGCCAAACGGTAAGTCATGCATTTGATCATACGTTTGTGACTCATCCTCATTTAGCTCATTTGGTGGTAGAAAGATAGATAAAATAAGATATTCATCAATTATAGGATATGTGTGGATATAAGCCTATTTGGGAAGAAGAATAATAATGAATATTCTGTTATATACAACACTTATTTTTTCCAATATACATTAAAAATACATCAGATTTTTTATTTTTTTTGTACAATACAGATTTTTTTTTTTTTTAGAAAGTTTGAACAATTAACATCAATAATTATGGACATTAAAAATCTTATATACAATATTTAAATTCATTTTAATTATAATTATCATTTTTACAAAAAAATATAGAAGGATGATAGGATCAGCTAGTTCGGGTGTAATGTGACCTAATGCGAAAATTCTTGAATTCGCATATTTATTCTTGAAATAGGGATGGTTAGGTTGGGATAGAATACGTGTGACCATTTCGAAAATAGCATTTTCATATTCAAACTCAATATCACATAAATTTGATGATGTAAACCTACTCGCTCTTGTGTAATTTTATCAAGTAGACCATTGTCTTTAGTGCTAAGATTTCCACCCCAGATAATCTAACAAAAATAAATCATGCTGGATATCATCAAAGTATAATACATTTCAAGAATTAAATGCGATACTAAAAGAGACTATGCATTATATGTGTGGGTGTAATTTCTACACTATAGCTTCAGTGTGTGTGTTTCTATTAAGAAAGCCCACTTACCGTTAGAATCAAGTGATTGTAATATAGCTTCAACAATTTTCAATGGGAACAATCCACTCGGTGAAAATAATGTCTGGTACTTTATATGCAAACAAATATTAACACTACTAATGTAACAAAGCCTATGCTGTGTGGCAACTGAAGAAATGGATTGCTGATATAATTACCACAGTTCCACAGATAATGTTGTCTAATGTGCAAATGGCCAATAATATTTTCATCAGATTTTTGTATACGGACGTATCTGTATATTTGCAGGTATGACGACATCAACGAAAAGCAGCTTTAGTAGAGTATATGTATGAATCGCATTCAGTGTGACTACTGATGCGAATCAAATTATGCTAAAGGCTGTTGGGAGATTGATATTGGGTTCATTCATTATTGATTCTAAGAAAACAAATGAAGTGATTTTTATTTTAGGAAACAACACATATGGATCAAATATTGAAACTGTGGATCAAATAATGAAACCATGTATCAAATAATGAAACTATGTATCAAGTAAGGAAAGTGTAACTAGAACATCAGAATATAAATAGGTGTAATCATTCATGATGAACTTAACTGGAAGAATCACATTATTGTGATGCGTATGTTATATGGTTTTATTGTATAAGCATATGAATACAAATTTCATGTATCTTTATATGCGACAATTTTTATATGTGAAAATGAAATTGTTCTTGAATATGGTTTATTTGAGTACAGTACAATATAAATTTTATAACAAAAAATAAAAATAAATGACTCCCTTCAAAAACTACCCCTCAAAGATCCCCTTAAAAATAAAGAAAAATGTATGGTAGGCCTATCTAATGAAAGGTACAGTGGGATTCTATACTGTACAATAACATCAGCTGTAAAAAAAGTAACAGACTATGTTACTCTTTTAGTAGAGGCTTAATATAATAAAAGGACTTTTTGTAAATTCTTGTAGGTCTATATGTGGAATATATATTATGGAAACATTTGTGCATCCTTCTAGTAGCTGCGTTAATCAAAGAATCATTCAGTAGCGTATCTACCGCAATCCTTTTTAATTATAGGATTGCGGACGTTTTGTTAGATAAAGTTTTGTTCCATCCTGACCTTGGTGTTTTCATTGACCATAAATTTTATAAACATGTTGACTATATTATTTGCAAGGCAAATTTTATTTGGAGAAATTGTTGGAATATTAAGAGTCCTAAAGCTATCATATCACTGTATTGTTCCTTAGTTTCCTCACATTTTAGAGAATTTTGCATTATTTTTAGTTTGGCCTCCAATTCTCAATTAAATCCTATTGACATAATTTATTTTAAGTTTAACAGATTTTTTGTCAACTGTTTTGGGAACTCCTGTGGTCTCTTGCCACCTACTGATAGATATTTTCTGTTTGATATGTTATTTTTGTTTATATATGTTAATTCACACTATAGTTCTAATTTTGTTCATCTGTTTGGTCTTCATATTAATTGTCGAATATTGCGGTCTTCGCATGTTTTTGATGTTCCTTTCAGTTGTGTTTGTGTTTTTAAACAGTTTTATCGCTAGGTTACCTTCTTCTTACAATCGTATTGTTTCTGAAAATAGTAACATTGATATCTTTTTTAACAGTTTTAAATATTTTCGATCTCTCATGTTAAAAGTATCTAGTTTTAAGCTGACCTTGTAACTGTGTTTTGTTTCTTGATTCTTTGTTCTTGGTTGGGTTGCTGTTTGTTATGAATTTGCTGTTGATTGTCTTGCTTGTTTTTCTATATTTTTAAAGATTATACTATATTTTTTATGTCCATGATCCTGTAAGTGGCGATTTTTTGCTGTTGGTTTGGAAATAAATAAATAAATAAACTACCCAGGTTCATTGAACCTGGGCCCCTCGAGCTCCAAGGCTCCAGATCTAAAAGGGCCCCAAGGCTTGAAATGCGTGTTTCAATAGCACACCTTTATTCGGATGAGACATTTATGCTGTTGGTCCTGTGTGTCTTCTGACTTCTGTGGGTTTACCCTCGCGTTGAAAAATTCCAATAAAATCCAGTAGTCGTTTGTCATTTCGTTAAATGTATTTGGTGGTGCAGCATTTCCTTATGTGTTTAATATTTGAATGATTTTAATAAACAAAGAAATTGAATTGATATACAGTAAATGACTGGTGGCGTTGTTGAACTGATGTGACCTTACATTTTTGAGCATCAAATTTTGAATCTTCGTTGTGTTTTTGGTGAAGAAATTTTGTTGTTTTCTGTGGTTACCCATTTTGCATGAGTATTTAGACCTTTCTGATCGTTTGTTCAAGTTCTTGTTTCTGCGTATTGTTTTCTGTGGTTCATTTTTTTAAAACTGTGAATTAGCCAGATATCACTACAACTGAATGATTCATCATAATGGAGCCTAGCCTAATGTCGCTCCTTACTAAGCCTAGCTGGGCCCACCAGAGTGCGTTCTACTTTGATGGATATTGATAGTGTATTCTCTGTGATAATCTGCTTCATTTGACTATAACTACATTTACTTAAATTAATATTACAAAAATAATAATATTAATGTAGGATATTGGTAGGTTCAAACAGATATGTTGTTGAATAAGTATAAGTAAGTTGAAATACACACAAAAGAAACATAAAACTCTTCTGTATGGTATCTAACAAGTGACTAATTTATTCAATATACTATACACAGTATGTAAAAGATGAAATGGGTGTGGTATACATTCAACAAATAACAAACAGCATTATAAATCTCTGTTTGGTAGAGGATGTGGTTTTATCCTAATTAAGATGTTGTCATTGGTCTGAAGTAAAGTTGTTATATAACCACAGATATGTGTATCTAAAGAGTGGACTTTCACTTCGGTCCTTATTGATAGGCTTAATTATGAAACAAAGAACAGTGAATTGACTATAATATGCACTTGATAATATCGGCTTTGCCGACAATTAATAATAAGTATTGTCAATTAAATTAGTATAATTACTAATACAGATTGACGTTTAAAATCAAATAAATGTAGTAACTACAGTAATTTAAATTAATATTACACTATTACTAATATGTTATGACTTAAATTAATATTACAATATTACTAATTCTTTATAAGTATAAGTATTAGTAATTAAAAATTTGTATTCCTGGTTGATGTTTAAATAAAAACAAATGTATTTATAGTCAAATTACCTTTTAAATAAAGAACATGAGCCAATAATAATTCTGTTTATAATGTTAAAGCAGGTCAGATAGGCATACTGATAGAAAGAAGAATATGTAAAAAATGCATGCTAAAATTTAATGAATGTCCACATTTAATATCTTTCCTTTACAGTAGTCTAAATTAAACCTGTATTAGTTTAAGAATTTTTTCACATTGTTTGTGTCACTCTATAAACCTCAGATTTTCATAATTGACTGATACTGAAAGGCTGTGTGGATTAGAAATTATAGAATGAAAAAATATTGTTTTGAGCTCCTTTGTAAATGTTGCGTAATTTTTGCTCTTTATTTCATCATGTCCATCTTGTCAATTATTACCGTTAGCAATGGGAATTTCTAGGTCATTTTGTGTGTTTCAAAACATTCATTTTTTATTATGCCATTTTCGGGGGCAGGGGTGGCGTCAGCATTTGCTTGACAAGGAAGGGGTGGGCGATGTCGCCAGCAGGGGGTAAAATTGCCCCGACAAAAGCAAAGTGGGCGTGGTCAAGCTTTGATTAAAAGGTTTTGAAAGTGGTGCAGGTAGCGAAGCCACAGAAAATTTTGACAATTTAGGGGTTTCAAAGGCTTATTTAATCGGTTTAAAGTCTATAATTATGTAGAAAATACCCCCTCACTGGCGCCACCCCTGTTCATGGGCCCCAAGTTAAAATAAGTAAATTCCGGGAGGTCTGCAGAGGTGGATCCAACAGTTTGAAAAGGAGTGGGGTGGGACAGGGAGGGGCTTTTACAAATGTAGGTTCTATACTGCCTTACTCCCAGCATGGTTTGGGTTGAGGTAAGCAAATTTATGATTTTGGCACCTCTAGATAGCTGGAATGGCATACATTTGATTTTGCGATAGAATATCTTGCTGAGTAAACATTACAAAATGCTGTAGTATTTTAGAATTATTACCACCAGTAGAGTAACCAGAACGGGATAAGTCAGGAGAAAAACAACCACTGCTAACACAACTGCTGTACTGTGTGTTCCGGACAAGAAGCTGCTTACATCCATTCCTCCCAAGAATGTGCTTCCAAGAATTGCGGAACTTTGCACTCTTCTTGACAACATCTCGACACTGAATCCCGATCCCGTAGCATTTTTTATCCTGTTTTCCACATCTTCTTCAATTTCGCGCCAATTTTCACAATATGCCAACAATTGAATGCAAAATTCCTTTGCAAATTCCACACAGTCATCCAGAAGCACCTGGTATCGGTGTGGGGCTGCCCTTAGTATTGCCAGTTCCAAACCATATGGACTCGTACCTTTGTATTTGCCAACGTAATAGCTTTTATGTATGCTGTGCTTGACATTTTTAAACGCAAGACTTTTCTTCTCGATTTTGTACGTCTTTAATTGAACTTCATCAAACACCAACTCGATTCTGTAACACAAATTTACATCGGGTACGTCAAATGGTTTACTGTCTGCATCTGGCATCAGTTCATCCAGGAATGGGTTCTTAGGTTCATTCCCTCCAACAATTACACACAGAATAAAGGCATGCCAGTGCTTGTTGACACATAAAAAAACATCATAGACATATTTGGATTTTGAGAGGAGTCTTTGAAGGCTGTCTTTGTCCTGCTTCTTGTAGGCAGTAACTAATTCTTTATCTAGATCAGACACATTGTTGACGTAGTAGGCCAATGGATTAATGCTACGAATGGTACCTTTAACCATTGTGAAATCTACAATTGAAAGAAAAACCTTAATACAAAGTATTTTGATGCATTTGTCTATGATTTAAACCAACTCATCCAGGGGTAGGGTTTCGAAAGAATTTCCTTCTTCAGAAATGCCCTTTTAAATTATTATAAAGTACCATATGCATGGAAGTTTTTGAAATTAATTCCAAATATTTGAAATATAGCATTTTTATTGCCATTTCCAGACATCTGAGGTGTTTTTATCTTTAAAATCTACCCCAGCCATGATCCGAATATCTGACACCATGTGTTGTTTTCATGGTGATAACTTAATAGGACAATAATGAAGACAAAGTAATTCAGTACAATTCGTCGCTCACATCACGAACTAACACAATTAAATTCAATTGTGTTAGTTCGTGAAATCAAAAAAGCGCGTCAAAATATGCGCTGTTGTCATTAAGGACTTTTTGTGTGGTAAAGAATACAAAATTGCTTGACAACCAATACGCACTCGTTTTGACACGCTACTGTGATTTTACGAACTAACACAATCTACTTCGATTGTGTTAGTTTGTGATGTGAGCGACGAATTATGGTAGAATCTTCCAAAAGTGTAGTCCATGACTGATCAAACAACATACAAACATGTTTCCTTTGAAACATGTATGTTCCTCCTTTATTTACCTTTTCTTTTTTTTTTTTTCTCAACTAATTATTAATTTGTAGTTTGTAATGTTAACAAAATTAAAACCAATAAAACTGATGGTAAATGCCGAAATGGTATCCCAAAACCCTCTTTGATTTCATATTTCATGGTTACTCCATGTTTGTATAATACACTAAACTTTTCGTGTCGTGGGGGTTTGTTCTTGTCTAGTCTTTCCTTGATTGCTTGCAGTCAGAGGTATTTGAATGTTTGTAAATAAACAAATAATAAACTAAAATTTTTGTGTCATTCTTGTCTAGTCTTGTACAATTATATTATTCTATTCCTCCCAAACTATTATTAAATAATTGAGGCATGTTGTGGCGAAATGGTAAAGTTGTCGCACAGTCTAGTATTGAGTAAATGAGCTATAAAATATGGAAGCTCAAAAAATTGATAAAAAATCCAAATTTGTTTTTCACTGTAGGTCAACAGTTTAATGTCTTATTAATCATGTCCCAAAGTATTAATTGTGGAAGTGGTTAACAAATTGTTTATTTAACGTTATTTTTCATTGTTCATTCTATTAAACAATGTATGCACAAATAACTTTGAAAGGCAATTACTCAAAATCTTGTTTATCTTGACTCTAAGGGTACTGTACATTCATTTTCCAATAACTTAGGTTTAAAATGTCCAATTTGAATGAATGACCTCTCATTTTAAAGATCACATACTCAGGTATCTGAAAATACCAATAACTTGAATTTCAATTTTTGCTACAACTTAGCCATTTTGCCACAACATGCCTCAATTATGTATATAATATAATATGATATGATATATATATATAAACATGCATATATGTAGTAATGTAGTAGTAGTAGTAGTATATATATATATATATATATATATATATATATATATACACATATATACATATATACTACTACTACATTTAAAACATATTTTAAGGGGAATTCTTTTGTCGTCTGAGGTTCTCCTTAACATTGTCAAATTTTACCTTTAGGGACAGTATTTTTATTATGGAACTGTTTTCTCCCTCTTCATTGTCTTATGTTCCCCATGGTAACCCTTTCACCAGGATTTTCAAAGAATGGTGAAATTTCAGAAAATTCTAAAGGGTGGATACAAACAATTGCTATTTTAGTACATAGCAAGTGACACGCACTGTTACCTTGCATTAATTTGCATTAACCATAGAGTGATACTACAGTAGAACCTCGATTTTACATACAGTACGGGACCGGAGGGCGTACGTAAATCGAGGGAATAGTAAAATAGAGGTTGGGTTAAATTTGGGGTAACCTTTGACCTAATACATACGTAACGCTGAACATACGTATGTATGAACGAACGATGTTACCTAGGCTAGGCCTAGCCTGTAGACCTACAAATAAAACCATGTGTTTAGTGTTTTTATTCATCACTTTACGATGACATAATAAAGTGTTCAAATAAAACCATGTGTCTAGTGTATTAATTCATCACTTTATATCTTTTATTTAACTAAAGAACATGAAAATATTGTACGACTTGGGAATTCCCCTTCATGCCTATCTAAACAACAGAGCTGTGGTGTTGTCTGGGCCTGTTGAGACAAACTAAACCCATGTGCACTGGGCGAGCCAACCAATTAGCATTCGTGTACGTGAAACAGCAACCATGTGCTATGCACTGGGCGAGCCAACCAATTAGCGTTCGTGTACGAAACTATGCCTAATCAGCTTCGTGTAGAAAATTCGACCAGACAAGTTTTTCAATGGTTTGCCACACGAAGCTAAGGAGGAAAGCAATTATTTTGAGCACCATCAGTAGTTGTTCATCTCACTCAGTTCACGTGGTTTTAGATTATAACAACCCGGTATTAGACTCAATCAACGTTGCAGTTTAATGAAAATACGTTGCATTATGGTTTGTTTATTGTTATAGTTTATTGTTATAGTCTTTTTACATATGGTTGCTCTGAAAAGGGCTGTTTGTTTTGAATATTTTCGGGGGTTTTTGATGACATCATCGTCGATACGAGGCGTACATAAAACCGAGGGTTCGTATAACTGGGGTACATAAAAACGAGGTTCTACTGTATTTATAATGTCATGTTCCTATATATTTGAGCACATTATAGTTATACAGTATAAAACCGAAAGGTCCACTGATTAATCTCAGATAAGAAAGTATAATACATACTCCAAGTATTGAAATACACGCCATCGTGTTGGGATTCCCAACACGATGGCGTGTATTTCAATACTTGGAGTATATATTATACTTTCTTATACAGTATACCAAAGTTAATTTCATGTGATTTACTAATTATTTGTTGATATTACTCAATACCTTTAGAAAACATGTTCTATTAGGAAAAATCCAAGGGTGTATCTCAGTTGGTAGAGCATTGGAAGTTCTTGAGTTGAATCCTGATGCGGACATAGGTTTTTCTTAAATTTTTAATGTTGGAAGATGGAGGCCATAGAAAGATTAATGTATAAAATAAGATATACATCAATTCCAGGATAAGTGTACTCTCTACTTTTAAAAGTACAGTATATGTGGGAAGAAGAATACTAAAAAGTATGGTGTGTATATCCCGGTTTTTGTCAATTTTCCCAAGTAATAAGCGAGTAAGCAGCAAACTTTGCACGAAAATGTTGAGTAAAGATGTTTACTAAAGACTATGCATAATATGTTTGGGTGTAATTTCTAAACTGTAGCTTCAGGCTTATTTCTAAGAATGCCTACTTACCTTTGGAATCAAATAATAGTAATATAGGCTTCAACAATATTCAGTGGGAACAATCCACTCACTGGAATGTGTCTGGTGCTTTAAATGCAAAACAAACAACACATGAATGCAACAAAGCTAAGCTGTGTGGCAACTGAAGAAATACAGTAGATCGCTGATGCAATTATCATAGTCTCACAGATAATGCTGTTTAATGTGTAAATGCCCAATAATATTTTTTATGATTATCATATATTGAGCTTTGTCTGGCCTTCGTATCCACAGCATATAATACACCAGTATATTTTCAGATATGATGTCAACAAAAGGCAGCTTTAGTACAGTATATGTACAAATCACTTTCAGTGTGACCAGTGATGTGAATCAAATTATGCCAAAGGGTAGGTTGGGAGATTAAGCTACATTATGCCAAATGTGTATAAAATAAGCGCCCTCTTTCAATTTAACGAATGAAAACAACACTGTCCTCGGTACCATTCTATCACCAGTGCTTTACTCTAGTAGAATTAAATTATTTATAACCTGGGATCTGTAATCTTTAATGATCCCACAAAAATAACATTTTTACAATAATTTAACGAGTGAATGGTTTATTTGAGTACTGTACAATATTAAATTTAATTCCGAAAAATACAAATAAATGCCTCCCTCCATAAACCATCCTCAAAAATTCCTTTAACAATAAAGAAAGAAATATGGTAGGCCTGTCTAAATTGATTGTATCCCTCTACTGTATGATAACATCAACTGCATAAACTAATAGACTATGATTATTTTCTCACTGTGCTTTATAACAGTAGTATAAAGACTCTGCTAAAAAATGAAAATTTGAATATATCAATTCAAGGATTTGAATAATTATCATGAGATGCAAAACGAGAACAATATTGATAATTAGGTCGAGATATATATGAATCAATGTCATTTCTATTTCACCCGCCCTCATCATGTAGAAGAGGATGAGATCAGTGTTGTACCTTCCCATTTCAAGTGTCATAGTAATAATTATATCATTCTAGTTGCTCGTCTTCGTATTTTTTCAATCATGTTTTTTCCTTTAATATTTAAATGGAGACCAAAGCTCCTAATAATTGCACAATATAATACTTTTAATGTAAACTGATTGCAATTATGAAAACAAGTCCTATAAAGAAAACCTAACAACCTATTTACTTTGTGACATGTTCAGAAATGTGGGAATTTACACCTTTCCAAAAATGTTAAGGCCAAGTGTACTTGTTTCCATAATAAGCTGAGACTCTTGATAAATGTTTGTACATTGATGCAATGGCTACTGAGATACGAAATTTAAGCGAAACCACAGAAAATGTTGACAATTTAGGGGTTTCAAAGGCTTATTTAATCGGTTTAAAGTCTATTAATATGTAGAAAATGCCTACCCCCTCGTTGGTGCCACCCTTGTTCAGGGGTCCCAAGTTGAAATAAGTAAATTTCGGGAGGTCTGCAGAGGCGGGTCCAACAGTTTGAAAATGGGTGGGGAACCTACATTTTACAAATATAGGTTCTATACTGCCTTACTCCCAGCATAGTTTGGGTTGAGGTAAGCAAATTTATGATTTTGGCACCTCTAGATAGCTGGAATGTCATACATTTGATTTTGCGATAGAATATCTTTCGGAGTAAACATTACAAAATGCTGTAGTATTTTAGAATTATTACCACCAGTAGAGTAACCAGAATGGGATAAGTCAGGAGAAAAACAACCACTGCTAACACAACTGCTGTACTGTGTGTTCCGGACAAGAAGCTGCTTACATCCATTCCTCCCAAGAATGTGCTTCCAAGAATTGCGGAACTTTGCACTCTTCTTGACAACGTCTCGACACTGAATCCCGATGCTGTAGCATTTTTTATCCTGTTTTTCACTGTTACTTCAAATTCGTGCCCATTTTCACAATTTTTCGCTAATCGAATGCAAAATTCTTTTGCAAATTCGACGCAGTCATTCAAAAGCGTGTTGTATCGGTGTGGGGCTGCTCTTAGTGCTGCCAGATCCAATGCGTATGGACTCGTACCTTTGTATTTACCAACATAATAACTTCTCTTTATGCTGTGTTTGAAATCTTTAAAAATACCAAATTTCTTCTGGATCTTGTACGTCTTTAATTGGACTTCTTCAAACACCAGCTCAATTTGGTAACACAAGTTTACCTCGGGTATATCAAATGGCTTACTGTCTGCATCTGGCATTAGTTCATCCAGTAATGGGCTGTTAGGACCATCTCCACCAACCGCGACACAGAGCATAAAGGCATGCCAGTGTTTGTTGACACATAAAAAAATATCATAATCATATTTGGACCTCGAGAGGAGTTTTTGGAGACTATCTTTATCTTCATTCTTGTGTGCAATAACTACATCTTTATCCAAATCAGACACATTGTTGACGTAGTAGGCCAATGGGTCAATGCTACGAATGGTACCTTCGGACATTGTGTGGTCTACAATCAGCCAAGAATTAAAAGGAAAGCCTTAATTAATACAAAGTATTTGATGCATTTGTCTATGATTTAAACAAGCTTATTGCCAGGAGTGTTCGAGGGATTTGAAAGAATCCCTCCTCCTTTCCCAGAAATGCCCTCTTAAATTATTAAAAAGTACCATTTGCATACTGTAGAAGTAGTTGAAATTAACTCCAAATATTTGAAATTTGGCATTTTTGGTTCCAATGCTTTCAAGCAAAGAAACCTTTAGGATACCCTTTGTGTGCATGTATGTATGTATGTATGTGACATGTACGTTACGTTGTTTTTTGGTTTTTTTTGTAAACATGTAAAAGTGACTTTCCAGATATCTGTTCGTTATGAAAGTCTTTACCCAAGCAAAACTGGATATGACGTTGAACCCTGTTGAATAATTTTCTATTTTGAAAAATATTAAAGGCATAACTAATGAAAGACAATACCACCTACCCTTGAAAAGACTAGTAAACTCTATGATAAGAGGAAAACATTTATGAAATGATGTTTACTTTCAGTTGTCCAACTAACTGTCTTAAACGTGATGGATTGGACTCTATGAACTTTCCTGGGTAGTATGGACAGAAATCTTTATCTACACTCCAAAAACCTTCAATACTGAGGTTTGGATAATGTTTTAAAGATACAGCACAGAATTGTATTGTGGTTTGACAAAAACAAACTAGAATATGTGTGTACAGTACGGTATAGTGAAAACATTGTTGGCTCCGACCCATAGTTAATGTAGGCCCACCGGACAGGTCAGGCCCTCCCTCCCCCAATCAAACAGAGCTTGTTGGGTAGTTGGACTAAAACAAATATAAGAATAGGACCATATGCTAAGCCAACACATGTCATTCCTGGCCATCCAAAGGTTCCTTAAAAAAATTTCATTTTGAAGTGGAATACCCTCACAAAATCTTCCACAAGCTCCAGCCTACGAACTCTAGTCCCCCTGTTGGACAGCTTGGCCCCCAGAAAATATATCCTGTAGCTGCCACAGTTACTAGCCTACACCTTTTTATCTTTGGCATGGAAAAAATCTGATGCCAGGATTAATTATAAAATAATTATAATTCATAATAATAATAATTATTATTATTTTATTATTATTATTATTATTATTATTATTATTATTATTATTATTATTATAATTTTGGCATAAAAAGCGCATTATGCTAAAGCCTCGATGCACTTAACAATAAAATTGAAGTTGCCAGATTAACATTTGAGGTCTCCCTGGTTTTGTTTGTTGGGTTATCGCAAATGCAATACTGCAATATTTCACGAATACCCGCATAGGAACCTTTGGGCCTTGCAGAGGTCTGGTTATTGCCATTTCCAGACAATTGTGGTGTTATCTTCAAAATTTACTCCAACCATGGTGGGACTAAGGTGGGTAAGGACTCAGAGAGCCCTTTTGTAAAAAAGTAGAACCTCCTTTAAAAATCCTGCCTATATGGCCTTGGGAAGAATACTAGGTATGGTGTGTATATCAGGTTTTCGTCAATTTTCCCAAGTAATTAGCGAGTAAGCAGTAAACTTTGGACAAAAATGTTGAGTAAAGATGTTTACTTGCACTATATGTGTGGGTGTAAATTCTAAACTACAGCTTCAGTGTCTGTTTCTAAGAAGTCCACTTACCTAATCAAATAATAGTATACAGGCTTCAACAATTTTCAAATGAGAACAATGGTATCTAGTAGTTAAATGCAATCAAACAACACCACGATTGCTGATATAATAATCAAAATTTCACAGATAATGTTGTCTAATGTGTAAATGCCCAATAATATTTTTATCACATAACTGAATACGTACCAGTATATTTGCAGATATGACAATAAGCAGCTTTATGCAGTATCGTGTTCAGTGTGATCACTGATGCAAATCAAATTATGCCAAAGGCTGATGGAAGATTATGCTAAATGTTCATAGAAAGCGCCCTCTTTGAATAACATGAATGAATGCAAATGAAGCAATACCATTCTATCATCTATCTGTAATCTTTAATGATCCTACAAAAATAACTTTGACAATAATTTAACGCGTGAATCATGGTTTATTTGAGTACTGTACAATATCAATTTTATACCAAAAACTAAAAATTAATGCCGCCCTCCAAAAATTACCCCTCAAAAATACTCCTAAAAATAAAGCAAAAAATGTGGTAGGCCTATCTAAAGGGAGGTACAGTGGGAGTGTATATTGTACATTGGATAATGTCAGCTTCAAAAACTAATATACTGTACTTTGATACTCTTTTGTCACTGCTCTACAATATTAAAGGCTTAATATGGTTTATAACCTTCAACAAACTCTAATAAAAGAATTGTTGTATGTTTTTGGGGGTCTATATGTAAATAATTATGGAAACATTTGTGCAGTCTTCTAGTAGTTATGGTAATCAAACATTTAGAGTCAATGTTCAGTGACCATTATTAAGGCATATGTGGCAAAGACAAGCCAAATCGATTTTGAGTTATTAATACAGTTTTAGAGAGTAAAATAATAGCTATAAAATGGTGAAAGAATAATTTAAATCAGACATTTTGTTATGTATACTGGAGTTTAAACATACAGTTGTTTTAATGAACAATATATGAGAAATCACTACCTTCAAAGTTTATAAATTCCGGGCATTACTCATGCAGAAACTACCATCGAATCCTTAAAAAGTGTTGTTTAAGCATTGAAAATGGGCAAATTAACAGCATAGTATGGTAGATATATAAAGGTTAGTTTAGTGCAATGAAATAGAATTTTAAAAATTTGATATTTCAGCATGGTTTGGCCATTTTCTCTGAAACATGATTTGTGACGAGTGACTGGTTTGGCTTGTCTTTGCCACATATGATAGGCCGTAACTCCTCCACTACTTTATCTATAAAAGCACAAATATGGTGTCTACACCAAAGTTATGTGGTCAACAAACACAAATTAGCAAATTTTACATAAAGAGTTCATTCATCCTTCATTGATTTTGAAGATATAAACTTACACAATTGTGATGTGATACACACTGCTGCTCTCAGTTTCTATCAAGATGTGAGAGCACCACAATGTGTTCAGTCATCTACAACAAACATGGATTAACATTGGTGCAGGAAATAATAAAAGCATTCTTTTACAGTACTTGGTATCCTATAGTGCAATGCACATTTCCTATTAAAGAGCAGCTTAACCGTAAAAACCTTTGGTTCCTGGTTCATTCCAATCTGTGTCTCTCCTTTTGTATTTCAGCTGGAGGCTTGAAATGCAAGAATTAATGGTTTATAGTAGAAATCGTGCACTTTTGAGTTTCTATAAATGTTGCCTAATAGGTTTACACCTTTCCAAAGATGTTAACACCAAGTGTACATTGTTTCCACAATAAGCTGAGACTCTGATAAATGTTTGTACATCGATGCAATGTCTACTGAGATATGAAACGTACAAACAGTTGCATTTTTTAATTGGTTTTGGTCTGGAAATTTTCACTGCACTGGGAAAAGAGCACAAGTAAACAGAAAATTCATGACAGTCATTTGTAATTGTTCTTTTCACCCACTAAATGTTGGGTTTTGAGTACAGAAGGTTGGTGAAAAGTGGGGGAGATTGATATGATTTTGAATTGTTTTGAAAAGTTGTATGACAAATCATGTGGTTTGCACATATATGTGCATGGTATGACATCATTATGCCCATATATGGGCAAACCACCTTAATATGTCGCATAAAATCTGATACTGATAGCGTGAACAAACCATTAAGAAGAGTACAAATTGATAAGATATGTGCTATGGTCATATAATCTACAGTACACATGTAATGGATATATTATGCATTAGTAGTATATAACGTATGTATGTGGCATGATCACTGAAAGAAACACTTTGATTAGATATGTGCGGTAATGGCTATACCAGCTTCGTAATTCAGGAAAATGGTAATGTGCGTTCTTATCGTTACCTAGAATATGTGCCAGTAATTGATGCAACACAATTTTAATTCCAGCCTTAAAATAAATCCAAGTGTGTGTTGGCGCGTCAATAATGTTTACTTATACAGTATAGCTTTGGAAGCAGATTTGTAGTGTAGGTTAGTAGTTGATGTGCTTGCCTTCTAATCCCAGGGACCTAGGTTCAATTCCTGTGATAGTAGGTTTTTTTCTCATAGCTAAAAACAGCTCCACTCGCTAAATCTTTGTCTACTCTATCAAATTTTATGTGACAAAAACATGTGATGTGCCCGTATATGGGTACGATGACGTCATATCACATACTATCAAATTGTATCAAAATAAGTTGAACGTGTTCAACTCTTATTTTCCATCACATTTTATGTGACGCTTTTTTGATTAAATTTAATAGTGTAAATGCTTAAGACACATTATAATTTTTTTTTTTTGACAAAAGACTTGTATAACCATATATGGGCATGATGTGCCTATATATGATCATGATGTGATGTCATCATATGACCATATTTGAATTATTGGACTGTGGGGGATAGGCAAATAACATTGGGAGTTGCAGTGATGACGTCCCAATTGACTTATAATATACAGTATAATAGCATAACTCTTATATTTTGGACATTATGTTAACATATTATATTTTGTCTTAAAAACTCTGTGCACACTCAACATTTCATGTGACAAGTAAGCCATTGTATGCCCATATATAGTCATGATGTGACTCTATATGGTCATGGTGTGATGTTATAACCATATTTTTCACATGTTTTTGTCAAATAAAATTTGATAGTCTAAACAGGGCTTTAGTGCATCTGCCTGGACGTGAAAAAAATGTAAATTTCTAATATTGTTTACTACTTTCATCAACCTTCCCACAGCCATAAAATCTCCCATTTAATCCGATTATCGAACTGCTTGCCTTGCAACATCTTAATTTTTGTTGCCATGATATAGGATTTTAAGCTTAGGCTTATAGGGCTCCCTCTATTAAGTTTTTTACCTCACTCTCTTGTTTATAATATTCATCATTAAAATTTTATTTCAACCTATATAGATTCTTTTCACAGAAACATTTTTCTCAATAAGAAAACAATTTAAATTTGTAAACGTATATGACCATATATGATCATATCTGGCCACATCATGACCATATATAGGCACGTCATGATTACATATGGGCATATACCTTTGACATTAAAAAAAGAAAATAAATTTACTAAATAAGATGCTCAATTATTGTGTGGCAGTTTTTTACATTACCTGGGTTTTATGTTACATTCTTTTTACTGATTTTAAATAAAGAATGATTTGATGAGTTTATCATATGAACCAAACTGTTTTTATAATGTATTTATAAAAACAGTTTGGTTCATGTGATAAACTCATCAAATCTGTTATTATAATGTATTTATTAAGCTTGTGTTTAGGTAAAAAAATAAAGAATATTAATTCTTTAGTGTAAAACTAGACTGAATGTGTTCGGTGATATTTGTAAGATGTTTTTTTGATGTTCATATTGTTTACAATCCAATTTACAGTTACGTGTGAAATGCACTTTAAAATCCATGATAATACACTAATTTAGCACTGGTAAAGTTAAGCTCTATACAGACTGTCTAATTTTATTTGAGAAAAACATGTGTCATGCTTAATTATGGTCTTGATGACATCATATCATGACCATATATAGGCACATCATGACTATACATGGGCATAAACCAACTGGTAGAGTTAATCGTGATTTATTACTATGATTTAACATGCATAAAATAACTTGTATACGCATCTTTAAGATTACCTTTCAGCAGGCATTTTGATTTTATGTGTTATTGTTGCTTCGGGGACAAGATAAATCCTCCGGAATCATTTAAATGACAATGTACGAAGAATTTTGGATTTACAGTATGACAACGGTTAATAGATTTACGATTTAAGTGTAGTGAATTAAGAAAAAATCCTTGCTTTTGAAAAACAGGGTAGGGCAAAACATCAGTCTTATGATATTTTCCTGACGCAAACTCACATTGTAAATTCACATCGTAATGAAAACAAAATTAACATCAGGAAGCCTTATATATCACATTGGCAAATTTAGAGATTTCTATTTAATACGTTTGAAATATTTCAAAACTGGGGGGAGAAACCTCCATTTCCCCACCATGCAGTCTTTAAATATTCAAAAACCTATATCATAAAACTATTCCCAAGATTTTTTCAAACTCGCCCCTTCAGAACATTCATTTTTACAAAATATCAAATTAAGATATTTAATTTTGTTTTAAATTTTCAGGTTTAGGACTATAAATTTATTGGTAGAATGGTGTGCTATGTTTTTAATTATTCCATTTATTACACTGTTAATTCATAATATGTACCTGTATTCATTTCTTCTATTATGATTGTAATTTTTTTTGTTTGTGACTTGAGTCACTGATACGCACTTTAAGTTCCTTCTCAAGTGCATATGAAAATGAACTTGGATTCATTATTTAGTGTTAATGTGTGATAGCCTGTCCATTACACTGAAAACAAGATTGATTGAGCGTGGGGACAAAGTTCACCGAAGAATGGACACTGGCAGAATTCAATCAATACTGACCAGTTGTATTTCTCAGCCATTTCGTTACAACAACAAGCCTTACTGCAATTTCATTGCGAGTCTTGTGTTAAAAAATAATGTCCTAATACACCACCAAGGTATGTAGTTCTTAGAGTCCCTTTTTTAGAATGAAGTAACATAAATTTATACCACTTTATACATATGTTGGTGAAATAGCCAGAAATATATTAATCGTGCTTTAATACTGCCAAAAATTTATTGATATTTATTCAAGATTTCTTTATTTGTGTCATTTTGGAAAATCAGTTTGTACGTTACATCGCAAGAAAGAGTG